GGGCTACTGGTTCAAGAAACAGTCCTCATCCTGCATAAAATACGCAGCACACATCTGAATATTTGGGTTGAACTGTTCTGGAACAGTGTTGTAAATACAACTTAACCACTGATTTCTAGTCGTGTCCTCTTTTGGAAGGCTTTCGCAACGAAACACACAGCGACTCCAAAACATGGCGGCGGCGGCAACAACGAGAATAAAAGTTACGCCTTCTTTCTTTGCGTGAACATTTGGGCGGCGTTATGCAAATCTTCCCACATCGTGACGTAGACATGTGGGGGCGTGTTAGAACGAGCCGTTTTAGGAGGGCGTGGTTGACTCTTAACTTTTATAAAGAATATCTCTTTGGATTTGAGACTTTAGTCTTTGCAACTTTACAGATCTTCTTTATGCACCAAGAGCTTGTAACACTCCAAAGAGAAAGGAAAAATTGAAATCGCATCATATGACCCCTTTAAATATAAGGTGGATATATTTCAGATGCCTTTTTCTTTCAGTCTATGTGATTTTTTTTCTTGTTTAATCATCCACTAAGCTAAAATTGTAAGTCCAGTCACATAGAAATTTGAGGAACCATTTATGTCTGTATTCATTGTTCAAATTCTTAACCTTGAGTATGAGCAATAGTTGGCAAACACTACTAATAAGGTATTTCCAGGGGGCATTTATCATAACAAAACAATGTCAGGCTTTGTGACTTAATCCTATTTTATAAGATTATTAATAGCAATGAATGTAATCAAGGTCTTATTAACCATGAAACAACTTTTCAACTTTAAATATTTTATGTAGTGATTTGTAAACTTCACAAGCTTCTTCTAGTTTAAGAAAAATATGTGAAAAGTGAAGTTTTTGATAAATATGCTGAGCAATTCCTTTATCAAATGTTTGTCTGGGAAGCAGAAGTCTTGGCTCAAAGCTTCTAATTAACTGCTGCATCTAATTAATCAAGAAAATTGCAGCTCTAGGCTATAACCAATGATTCATAAATGTGCTTTCAGCAAGGGGTACGTAAGAGTCGACTCAAACTTTATGTGAACTGTATTTGGGTCATTTGAGGGAGACCAGTGGCGACATCATGATGGATTGATTTGTTGTTGTATTATTAATGTTATTAGTGTGCATTGAAGTATCCAGTTTGTTTCTTCTTTTTTGCATAGCTTGTAATTTAACCAATCTAGTTGATTCTTCAAACTTGGCATTCTGTACTATGAATATTGTTAGCTCTTATGACAAATAGCTTGTGATGTTCCTCATTTGCATGTCACTTTGGATAGAAGCATCTGCAGAATGAATAAATTTGATGTTTCAGAGCTATAAATTGAATGTGGAGTGCAGCTCAGATCATTTGGTCTTGGAAGAATTTGATGGGAAATTAGTTCATATTGATATCTCTGACTTTGCAATTGCAGATTTTGTTGTTTTGGCCAGTTCAAGCAAGATATGAAAGATCTTCTGAAACTCGAGAGGAGGTACATGAGATTATATGGTTTTTTTTTTCTCAACAGAAACATCTAAGAAGCAGAACGCCTAATCAGAATTCCATTTAATTTCATTGCTACCTAGAAAAAACTGGGATGTTAAACATGACATTGTTTTATGAGTGTGTTTTTCTGTCCTGTGCTGATGTATTTCCTATTAAAACAGAAATTAAGATAGAACATATCAAGGACTTTCAATTTTGATTTCTTTTGTGAATTTTCTTGCATACGGCCCACAGTTGGACATGCATGGACAAACATGCATCCACCCATAAGTACAAACATACACATATACTACATGCATGTAACAGAAATTAGGGCTTTAGTGAGGTGCATGGACACAGATCAGGGGCAGACAGGAGCCATTACTGTGATTAAAAGGTTGGATCTGGATCGTGCCGAGAGGCGCTGAACATTTCTGTTATGGAGTCATGACAAACTAGTGCAGAATATTAAATAGCTCTGTCTGAGCTAGTGTCCTGTCCAGCTGGAGAATCATCCCTACCAAAACTGGGGTGCAGTGAAATTTACTACAATTTACACTATTAATTCTGAGAATCAGTTCTGTTAGGACAGAATCTGACTTTTTGGTATTTTACATTGTGCCCTATTTTTACAGATTTTTTTAGAGTGTATATTAGGCTGCATTCATTATTATTATTTTATTTATTTTTTACCTGTTAGAGAAAGTTTTTATGATAGCCACCATTTATTTGATCATATTTCAACAACAGATTGGTGCACTGATGCGTTAAATCAACCAAAAGTGAAATCGAAGACATTTATAATGCAACAAAAGAGTTTTATTTCAAATAAACACTGCTCTTTTGCTTGTTTTTGTTGAAAATTTAGCTTTGTCATCACAGGAACAAATTAGTTTTTTTTTTATACATTAAAATAGAACACAGTTCATTTAATTTAAATTCTAATAATATCTCACAATTTTTTATTCCTTAAGAAAATTTGACATGTACCTGAAATATTTCCAAATGAATCAATATCGAATCAAAAATCTGTGTCAATACCCAGTCCTAGTACCATGGTACTGTCTGTCACAGTACTTTTTTTTTTAAAGGTCCGTTATCTAACACACCTGATTTATTTCATCAGTTCATTAGTAGAGTGCTCCATGACCTGAATTGGGTGTGTCAGATTTTTTAGACACCTGAAATGTGCAGGATTTTGAAAAGTCTCACTGCTGGGGGCCTGCCACACATAATCAGCGTTAAATGAATTCTTTGCCTCCCCCCTCCTGATCTCTGTATCTCTCCTACTGTGCTTAACTTCATTTGACTAAAACCTCTCTTATCCTCACGGATAATCTGTCAACTGGTTTGTTCATTCATCCATCTATCTGTTGTAAGGACGCCCCTACTGCTCACCCACACGCCGAGACCTCGCTTACCTTCTGCGCATTAGCTGACGAGGCATGATCACTGCTCAAGTTTGTCAGTCACGGGGTGAACGGTATTTGAGGCCGAATGACAAATCATGATGAAACCAACGGCAGCCATCTGCATTTGCTCCAGACAAATGATGTAATAGCGCAGATAATTCACTACCGCATTTTGTTGTCAAAGCTTAAAGCAGCACTATGTAACTTTTGGCGCTCTAGCGGTTAATAAACAGAACTGCACACATCCCGCGGAAGAACATTCCAACCGGAGCTACTTCTCTAAGTTTATGTCTATGGCGATTCACGCAGGTATGTGTTACTCCGCAGCGGTGACGACCCGACCAGGCTACAATAGTCCAAATATAAGTACTTATTATAAGTGTACCGTAGTGATTCGGAATAAGACAAAAACGCGGTTTGGAAGATGAATTCATGATGTACTCGCTCATTATATACATTTTGCACATTTTGAACACAGAGAAAGTTACATAGTGCTGCTTTAAGTAGTCTATGAAAGTATGAAGTAGCATGCATGCTAACACTCATTTGAACAAAAGGAGATTTTTTTATGATGCAGTTTTTGTCATAATTTATTGGTGATTGTATGTTTTTTAAATGTAAGCTGGAAATTTCAGACTTTCAAGCAAATAAGAACACTGTAAAAAAAAAAAAAAATCTTGTTAAAGTCCCCCTGTAGTGAAAATCAAGTTTTTTAATGTTGTTTATTTGTCTATATGGTGTTTTTAATATGCCTTTAGACAAACCATGTGCCAATCCATTAATCAACACCATTGCTGAGTATTTATTTCTTAAAACTGTAGTTTCCCAAAGGCTGACCCAGAAGTACGGTTTGAAACGGTTTGCTACGTCACAAACCAATAACCAATCACGTCAAGGGATCCTATCATTAGCATATCATTAACCATGCTGCGAAGCAGGAGGCCTAGTGAGAAGGTAGCCAGGGATCAGCGTATAGTAAATGAGGCAAGGGCGTAGAGTTACATTCAAGCTGTTTTAAGGAATGAGAAAATTATTTTCACAAGAAAAAACATTTAAATATGTAATTTTGATGATCAAAGAAAAGTTTTAAGGGATAAAATATTTGACTACAGGGGGACTTTAAATCTTGTTTTCCAGGCAAAATATGTAAGCATCTTTAAAACAAGATAAATCCTAGAGAAGCGAAATTGTGTAAGATAGTAAAATGTATTTTCAGCAAATATATGTACTACTGTTCAAAAGTTTGGCAATAGTACTTTTTTAAAATAATTTAAAAAATAAATTAATACTTTTATTCACCAATGGTGCAATGTTTCTATTTCAAATAAATGCTAATGAAATGAAAATTCAGCTTTGCATCACAGGAATAAATTATATTTTAAAATATATTCAAATAGAAAACAGTTATTTTAAATTTGACAATATTACAGTTTTTACTGTGTTTTTTTATCAAATACATGAAGTCAAGTCAAGTTTATTTGTACAGCGCTTTTCACGATACAAATCATTGCAAAGCAACTTTACAGCCAATTAAGTTTCTACAATATTTAGTGGTAGCTTATCAATGAATCATGAAGCCTTAGTGAGCATTAGAGACTACAAAAATGTTTTTACCAACCCCAAATTTTTGAACGGTACATCTTTTTAATTTCTAAAATAGCAATAAATCTTATTCTATTGTATTTTAAATTTTGAAAATAGAATGTACTTCAAGTTTTAAAAGATATAAATTAAGTTTTATAATCTTCTCATATGAATTTATTTTGTTTTAAGGATTTTTTAATATTTCTTCTGGAAACCAACAACAATAATTAATAAAATAAAATTAATTATTATTTTTATTTATTTATTTGTTTGTAGTGAAACAGTTTTCCTGGGATGTTAGCAAGGCGGTTGCCAAACAGACTAACTCCTAACTTTTAATAATATTTCTTCTGGAAACCAAGACAAAAAAACAACAACAATAATTAATAAAATAAAATAAATTATTATTTTTATTTATTTATTTGTTTGTAGTGAAACAGTTTTCCTGGGATGTTAGCAAGGCGGTTGCCAAACAGACTAACTCCTAACTTTTAAAATCCATGTAAATCTCTTTGTTTTTTCTTCCAGATCCCTCAGATCAGCTACGCATCCACAGCACCAGAGCTGAGCGACAATAACCGCTACGATTTCTTCTCTCGAGTGGTACCACCAGATTCCTACCAGGCACAAGCTATGGTGGACATTGTGAAGGCGCTGGGCTGGAACTATGTGTCCACATTAGCGTCAGAGGGGAATTATGGTGAAAGTGGAGTAGATGCCTTCGTTCAGATCTCTCGAGAGGCAGGTATAGTATCCGTACAGTCATCAGGCTTTGCATTCTGTTCGCTGATAGTCTATGGATGTAAAACACACTGAAGCTTATATAGAATGATCCAGATTGGGCTTTCCATTAATATGCTATATTTCAAAAAGTTACAAAGAGGAGCATGACAGAGACAGCTGCATGCATTTGTACCCATCTGCTGCCAGAAATTCATGGCGGTCATTAATATAAACAGAAAGTGAGTCACATTTTAGGAGAGAAAAATTTCAGCATCGGTGTCCATCTCTCTCTCTCTCTGTGACAAAGGAGGTCTGTGCATCGCTCAGTCCTTGAAGATCCCACGAGAGCCCAAACTAGGAGAGTTTGACAAGATCATTAAGAGACTAATGGAGACCCCCAACGCTCGAGGAGTCATCATTTTTGCCCATGAGGACGACATCAAGTAAGTGAATGATATGCTTAATGTATGTTTGATCAGCAAGGCATTTTAAGCCTTATAACATTCTGGGTTAAATACAACTTTAATTCTATCAGCTGCATCTGCTGCATGCTGTTGATTACATTTGAACACCTTGTGCAAATTTATGGAGGCATAAATGAGTGTTAAAGTATTTTATTTTAACTCTCTACAACACAGCTCTTGCCATGAGGATTGCCTGCTGACATGGCATTAAAATCTCAAGTCGCTTGGGTATATTTTTAGCAATAGGCAAAAAAACATTGTATGGGTCAAAATGATAAATTTTTCTTTTATGCCAAAAATCATTAGGATATTAAGTAAAGATCATGTTCCATGAAGATATTTTGTAAATTTCCTACCGTAAATATGTCAAAACTTAATTTTTGATTAGCAATATGCATTGCTAAGAACTTCATTTGGACAACTTTAAA